TCCGAGGAGGTGTGGGTGGCGGATGGTCAGCTGTTCGTCGGGTCGGGGACCGGTTGCGGGCGGATTACGACGCCGGGAGGGGCGTCTTCACGGGACGTGCGCCTGTTCAGACGCAGGCTGCGGAGGGCGGGTCCGGACGTCCGAGCCTGTAGATGGCAGGCCACATGCTTGGTTTGTCACGAGCGGAGACGAGGAGGACATTGGTCCTCGAGGCCCCAGGGACATCCACGGACAGGCTGCTGGGAGAGCAGTTCACATCGGGCGAGGAGGAGTTGTTGATGCGTCCCGGGACGAGACGACAGCATGGCCTCTCAGAGGTTGAGGGGTCGCCGCTGGGCTGGCAGCATTGGACGCGATTCAAAGGGAGAGAGAGAGGGGGATTGCTGCACAGGCGGAGGAGGACGAGGACGCAGACACTGAGTCCGAGCCGATCGAGCCTGCGGCCCGTAGACACAGGGCACAGGTGGCCGCGGCGGCCGCTGCAGCACAGGCGGCATACGTCAGTGGGGCACGGGGCACAGGTGCCGGAGGGAGAGGAGGGCGCTGGGGAGGATCGCATGGCCGCCACTCTTCCGGGAGAGGCCACGCGCACTCTAGTGGGAGATGACGACGTCCGTGGTGTTTTTTTTTTTTTTTTCATTAGGTTTGTTTTTTCTTCGCGTGGCTGTACAACCTGGACGCTCTGTCGGCAGGGTTGTAGCATATTTATGTCGATGCTGTTCCATGGAGACGACGATAGTATGTGGACATTATTATTATTATTAATTTTTTTTTGCTACTTGGTTGTACAGTAGAGACGACGCCCGTCGACGGGTCTTGTTTTTTTTTGGTACTCTGTTGTGTAGCAGAGACGATGGGTCCAGTTTTTTTTTGCTACTCGGTTGTAGAGTAGAGACTACGGGTCCAGTTTTTGACTTCAGCCTTGTACATACGCATTTCCATTGAAATGATTGGTCATATATTTGCTCTTGTTCTTGTTCCTCCGCCAACATTGGTCTTGCATCTGAGTCGCTGTTGTTTGGTGATTGTTTTCTGCTCTGTTGTCGTGAATGTTGCAAATTATGTGCTCCTCCGTTGCCACGCACCTGCATGTCATGGATGCCTCCATTATGAATGTGTTGTTAATTTCAGATGCGACATAGGGATGATGTGCTAATGAATGTGTTCGTACATAAATGATGTGCTAATGAATGTCCATCAGTCTCATGAGTGAACACACACTATGACACGCTTGCCTGTTATCATTGTTTGAAACTTGTGGTTCGCCGCACTGTGATTGATTTCCAATGTGTTTCGACATTGGTATGCCAAACAGGGTCTAACTTATGACTGCCATGAATGTGTTGTTTTAAAATAAGCGACAAACTGTCATCGCCCTCAGTAATGAAACCAACGCCTACCTTTTAGAGCGTGAGGCCCTGATCCGCTTAGGGTCTGCCATCTGCAGCCCCGTCTAGCTTCGACCCGGCCTGGCTGCACGGCCCGCCCCATACAGGCCCTCATCCAACCCACGTTGGGCCGCCCCCGCAAGGGTCAAATATTTTTTATTTTATTTTTTCCATTGTTCCAGACCCTCCTCCCTGCGACCCCGCATCGACGAACCTGCACACGGGGGCCGCTGGATTTTTCGCGGGCCACCCTTCCAGGGTCTTGTGCAGGACCCCCCGTTTTTTTTTTTTTTTAATGCCCTGTCACTTTGAGTGGGTGCCCCCCC